AAATCAGTGCCGTGGAAAAAGCGGGGGGAACACTTCCACGCTGTACGTGATTAGACATCTGGCTTTGTCGTGTAACGGCTCTTTCTGAAGTTGGTGTGGAGAACCATATCGGCCCTGAACAAGCTCAGTCAGTAGTCAAACAGAGAAACTCGGCTTTCGTACGAATCGCAACCACTGAGACGACAGTCGCGTTCACTTCAAACGCCCTACATGGGTTCGCACGGTCCCCTTTTCTGAACAATAAAACGTCTTATTAAGTGAGACTTTTTTTTTTAATCTAAGTTATTGCTTGGAATAACTGACGAATTTTCTCATTCTTTCCTGGATTAAAACTGATGTCATGGTTGCATTCTAAACGGGATATTTTACATTAAAAGCAGCTGTCTCGGTAGAGCTGTTGTTTTTACTGTGCATTAAGTGAAACAATGGTAAGTGGCTTTTTAATTACTGAAAGTTGAAACTGCATTCTTGTGTGGTTTTTGAGGACAGACTGATGGATTCCAGCATGGAGCTGATACATCATTTTTAAACAGTTTTATGTGATTTACGCTTTAATTGCTGTATAGTTAAAAAAAAAACAAGACAGCAGTCTCAAAATAAGCAAAGGCTAAAACGGATCCATTAGAAATGCACATCCACATGACAATCAGCTAAACACGCTTCTATAACAAAACCATATACTTTGCTCGATTATCACGCATTCTCTTAAAATGTAAGATTGTATGTAGCATTATGAAACAGATTGTAGTATTACATTATAAAAATTACCGGTACTTTGATTTTTTTTTCTTCTGCAGGGAGAGAGAGCATAGTTTATAGGGTTCGTTTAGCCTGGCGGTTAGCGCACTGCAGCAGTACGGTGTGAAATTGCAACACTCCACTGACTTCTGTTTCCAGCTGGTTAAGATTTCGCCGTGAAAATCACAGCCTGAACTGTTAATGCGCTTCAATCATGTGCATTCAGACTTCGCATCGAAAACTTTCGGCTGTCTTTCCTTAAGAAAATCATACTTTAGTTTTCAAAATAGCTTTAGAGTACACGTGCGCTTCATTTCAGTCCTGTATTGAAATCAGGTGAAATCATAGTTTTATTGATTCGCCAGTTAATTAATTGTAGGAGCACGCGTTTTGGCCGTTGGAATAATGTTACTGCTAGCTCAATACTAGTGTTCATCATTAAGTATGGATTTCTACAACAAACCTAGAAACGGAATTTGCGAAAGACTAATATCATTATCCTGTCATTTTTAATAACGAACGCTGTAGTAAAAATGTGACTGGAAATCAAGTATTTATGATAGCACTGTGTTTACGAGACGTTATTATGTCTGCGCGTTGGGGGAAAAAAAATCTACAGTTGAGCTCTTGACTCATCAAGCTATGTTCAGGGACTTTCGGTATTTTAAGAGCAATGCATTCCTGTTTAATGTGGAAATCACTTTTCCTCTGCAGTTTGTCTCTCCCCTTTAACAAAAACTAACGGGGCCAGAAAAATATAACTTGGTATTGACATCCTCACCTTAATACAAGCCGTAAAATAAATGTCGTAAGAAAGCACTGTGTGTAAAATAATGAGCTGTTCAGTTCCTGTTCATGTGATCAACATCCGGTCAACGGTATTTATTCCAAGACTCCCAGAACTCAGAAGAGACGTGTTAAATACCCAGGTGAGTCGAGGGCAGGTTTACTGGCTGGGAGCCGTATGATTCCGCTATCATCACCTGGGATAAACGGTTTCTGATTATGGATGGGTATTGTCGTAATTCATTTCTCAGACAAAAATGAAAAATGTACGACCATCGCTTGAACGTGCAACCAATGAAGGCACACCTTCCTTCCAAAGATGAGTGTCAATATCAGTTCATCCCGGTTTATATAGTAAGTTAACCCTTTTAAACTTGCGAAATATTCTTAACTCGTCACATCCGCACAACCGTCGACTTTCCTTGACATCTTAAACCAATGAAAAGTTAATTCCCCCTTTTTTTCTGCTTCTCTACTGAGTGATCGGTTACCCAAAGTTTAGATTAGAGCCCTGGTTCTGTTAATTAGCCGAGGCTTACCAAAAATTTAAAAAACATGGAATTTCAATAAAAATACAGAATGCACATTCTTTCGGAAGAATCTCGCTGAAACTTGCTTTAACATGCCAAGTTATTGATTGCGATAAAGTTGATTCCCCGTCAAACAATAACATGTTAATATCCGGCGATTATGTGTTCTTTAGAAACAAGAGGGACAAAGTCGCTTTCGTTTTTTATGAAGATTTAGAGAAGCATACACATATCTTAGTTTGTGTGTATATATCACAGAGAAAGCGTTTTTAACAGATTTTCATCACTAATATTTTAATATATATAGAATTCAGGCAATGTTTCACAACACCATATCTATGGATCTGCCATTCTTTGTAGAATACAGAGGAAATAAATTGTCATTGTCAGTTGATCGATTTACACAAGGTAGGCTAATTAGACGTTAGTTTAACGGGTTTCTGTGAAAATTCTCTGCCGTTCGGGATCTAAAGCCGCTAGTTTTAGCTGATAATAAATGCTTTCCTGAATTAAAAAGCGAAGCTGCTACGCATGACAGTATTCAACAGAAAAAGGTGGTCGACAATCATTAATTATATATTTTCATTTATCGCGTGATCATTTCTTTTTACAACGACCACAGCGAGGTGACAAGATGTACTGTTAAGTTATGTGACTCAGGCTACCCATACAGCTCATTTCGAGTCCACTCTGCTGTTCAAGTGCCATGTGGCCAAGTCTGTCACTTGCTCAGCCTGTCTCTTATAGCACCGCAGATGTTTAACCGCGAAGACTGCAGCTGCCGAGCATTAAAACACCAGCGGGTGGAAACCGGCTCGGGAGCCACCAGCGGGCACACAGACCGTGGCGTGTCACACGCGGAAAGCGCTGAGCTTACCCACACACTCGTTCGCCTCCCGGGCCGTCGCGCGTTGCCAGGGCCTGTCGTAATGAAAGGGCTTGCATCTGTCGCACTCCGGCCCGGCGGTGTTGTGCTTGCACTCGCACACAAGGTTTCCGTCCCGGTCCTTCACGCACCTCGAAGCATGCCCGTTGCATTTGCAGCGCCCGCCGACCTGCAGGTCCGAGACCGCGTAGAAGTACGAGTCCCTGGCCAGCTCGGAGTCGTCCTCGTTCTCGTCCCCGAACGTGTGCAGGCGGCTGAAGACCACCTTGATGTCGGTGGCCGTCACCCAGTCCTGCAGCACGGGCGAGTTGTCGAAGTCGTGAGCCGAGGGGCGGCCGTCCAAGGTGCTAAACGCGATGAGCCCCCCCGAGAGAGGGTGCATGTCGGTGTGTGAGTCCGTGCAGATGGCCTCTTGCTCGTTCTGCTTGGTGATGGTGGCCTTGCTGGGCTTGTTGTACATCTTCCGGCACTGGGTCGAGTAGAACTGGAAGGGCACCCAGCTCTTGCCGTAGTCCATGGACTTGTAGATGGCCATGGACTCGGGCCGCGGAGAGCAGAACTGAAGGCTCACGTAGGTGACTTCGAACTTCTTGCCCAGGGTCAGCGTCAGGGTGACATTTTGAGGGTACTGGATGTAGTTCTCCGACTGCCAGCAGGTGAGATTGTGAGGGTTGTTCAGATCGGTCAAGTAGGCGGGCGGGTGAGACTTCTTCGGGTCGGCGGCGTCGCAGATGTGGCAGTTCCTGTTCCTTTCGTCGCCCTTCTCGGTGACCACGCAGTACCGGGAGCTGGGTCTGCCGCAGGTGCTCGACACCCGCACCTCCTTGCCGAAAGCGGAGTTCACGAAATCGGGGATGCACCTCCTGGGGTTGCCGTTCTCGTCATAGCACGGGTCCGGAGGCGAGGTCTGCGCCGCGAACATGCTCATCCCGTGGCCCCCGAGCGCGCTCTCCACCATAAAGGATGCGGCCAGCAAACTGACCAGAGCCCCCCAGATCCTTAACATTGTAATCCGCGTTCTTCGGTGTCTCCAGCGGCGAAACACACGGCCGTTCCCTGGGAGAAGAAATAAATAAATAACAGGCTTGACACGGGCGCACGCAAACACATTTTAAAATGATACAAACGAGGACAAGTTCTGTCAAGTTTACAAGGGGGAGCCGACCAAGCATTTGAAAGGTAAAATACAGTCGTGTCATTACTCCGCAGCCGAGCCATTGGATCCTTTCATTGCGCTGTTAAACGCTGTATTCTTTTTTTTTAAAGTGCTTTCAAAATCAAATTTAAATCTTATTTGAAGCAACGCATGAATTAATGAGAGTTTTATCAGATCTGACGAAAAGCAACACTTTTCAAACTGTATCTACAGCCGCAACGACAATGATTCTATAGAATGTCATTGAATAAATACACATAAATTGAATCTGCTTACGAGGTAAAGAAGTTGCCACATAGGATAGTGTACCTCGAAATAACTCTTCAGCCTGGCAGAAAAGTAATAAGTGAAGCCTATGAAACGCAACGGGCTCTTTTTCTTTCTTGCTGGGATGCTACACGCTTTAGTTGTTGTTGTTGTTGTTGTTGTTGTTGTTGTTTTGTTTGGGTTCTCCTGTTTGTTTCCAGCAAACCTGATGCAAAACCTGTAGAAGCTCCGAGGCTATTCTCCCAGTGTCTGCCCCACTTTCTTTTCCTCGCTTTCCCTCTCTCTGTGTGTGTCTGCTACACTCACTGTCTGTGCGGAAAGTGAAGGACGAGTTCGGTTTCTGCTGTGCTTGTGGTCATCTTAAGGAGTGACACACAGCACGCGAAAGGAGCCTATAACGACATCCAGTGGTAGGTTTATCAATACGCGACACGCATTTGATTCGCTGAGCGCACGACGGAAAAAGCAGCGCCCGACTGTTGGAGATGTCGGGGTTTTTTTTTCTCACTTTCTTTTTTTTTTTTAAAGGTCGCAATTCTTCTACCTCCCTGAACCGGCGGGACTGTCTTTGCGCGCAGAAGAGAGCAGATGCGCGTCTGTGACTCACGGTAGCTGAATCTAACAGAACAGGAACACCGAGGACCGGCGAGAATATGTAGATCAGCGCACGCATAGAAACACCAACACCGAGGAAAGAAACGTGAAAAGCAGCTTTATTATGAAACCAAAAACATTAAGGAAATAAAAAATAGAAGTTGGTTTTGTTTCTGATTTATTTATAATGTACTGCATTTGGCTGATTTAAAGTGCACAATCTGCTCTATATTTACTTTAAAAACATGCTGTGTAAAAAGATGCTGGAAAACTATGTTTGCACGACATCCATCTGGTTTCGTACATCTTACAAGACCTGGCATATTCTTAAGTACATTAACTACCACTAGGAATAACCGTATAAATTGTGCTGGAATGAACATGTAATATCAGCCCTAGTTTTCAAATTTGTTCAGGTCCAGTTTCAATATAAATATCCGAAAAGCCAAAAAACCAAAATTATATATTGTTATTCCAAACCAATTTCACATTCATGAGAAGCAGGAGCAGATTTCTGGCATTATTACTTTCTGGAATATTTAACAGCTAACCAAATTCAAATGCTAATTTAATTGAATTTCATTTACACCATTCAACATGTTGTTAACCAGTTACTGTTATAAGGGATAGAAATCTATCATTTAAATTATATGAATGGAATATTCATTGAAACAATCAAGTTGTGAAACATTTTAAAATATATTTAAAGTTTCTGTAATTTGATGTCAAAATCAGTTACAATTAGGCTGATATTCTAAATACCAGTCACTTGAATGCAGAGCTTCTTTCCAGGTGCTCGTGATTCCAGTATCTCTGGTCTTCAATTCAGAGGAGGTCAGCAATTAAATTGAAACTTTAATTGAACCAGCAATTTGGTTAATTAGATACTCCTCATTATTTTCAGCTGCCAGAAGCTGCAGATTGAAAGTTTCTTTTAATATAGCACTACTATTTAATCATTAGCAGTTTAAGCGCAAGAAACAACACAATTAATCAATTATTAATCAAACTGTGAGCTCAATGACGGACTCAGTTCACTAACTGGAAACCCAACAGCAGTGAAAGCTGCAGACACTGGTCACTGGGAACAGGAGGGGGGAGCCTTGATTGAACAGAAATCAGGATCCAGGAAATCAGTAACCAAACGTAAAACTGGTACAAAGCACTGTTGTGCTATACATCTTCCAAAACAAAACAGTCAGCACTTTCCACCCAGAAGTGTGTAGGTTAGGAGGGCTGCTCAAAATTCGGCTCTTCTAATCCACTCCATTTAAAAGCCCTTTAGTGCAATCAGCACCTTCACTTTTATATTGATTATTATCAGTTAAGGAATGAGGAACTGGTAGATGCAAACGTGTCTAGTAGAGTGGACTGGAAGAACCACAGTGATGATTTTCCCCCCACTGTAGAGTCTGCATTTTGAAAACCTCTGATGTGTATCCGATCCTGCAATCGTGCAATGGATGAGAGTTTCCCATTCCCTTTTCTCTGGACCACAGTGTCTTCAGGTTTTCATCACAGCTGAGCTTGTACATACTCAATGGCACTGCTAATGTACAGTACTTAAGTAACATCTTTTAATCCTTTTCAGTGGCTTCCTAACTTCCAGGTCTCAAGAAATGTGTATTTCTAACGAGAACTAACCCGAAAGGTTTCAAGGCCAAAAACAGTTTAAAAGGGTTGGATTAGCAGCTAATTGGTTATCTGGTGTTTAATGAGGTAACCGAGCAGAGCTAGAATGAGATTCAGAAGGCAATGGACTTTCCAAGTGCACGGCTAGCAACTCTGGCTGCTGTCGTGTTGAAATCCCTTGCAGTTTGCCATGTTCTTCTGTACCACCATTTGGTCAAAAGCTTTTTTTTTTAATCTAAATCAATAAACCCATCCCCAATCCCTGATTCCCCCTGTTATTTATTAGGTTTTCCATTTGATTAATTTGGTATTTTCATGTCATCCTTGTTTTTCAGGAGAAAATAAAAGATGTTCCTGTTTACCAGCTCAACTGCGTATCAGGTTTCCCAGGTCTGTCTGTCTGTGTCCATACCAATCACCCATCCGTCCATCCATTGGCTAAACTGGAGCCTAACCTGGCAAGCAACAGGCGCAAGGCAGGGCACACCCTGGGTGGGATGCCAGTCCATCGCAGGCTAAGACACGCAAACACAGATATACACGCACTCACGCGAGAGCCTGTTTTTACAGAAGCCATGTCTTTGCATGTCTTTGTTGCTGTAGGAGAAACCTAGAGCACCCCCTGCAAACCCATGCAGAACATACACCTGGGGAGAACATACAAGCTCCACACAGACAGCACCCCGGGAATTAACCCAGGGAGGGCCCCAGCACTGCAGGGCAACAATGTAACCACTGCACCACTGTGCCAATTAGAGTTGCCTAAAAATGGGTTTAGAGTCACTTTCAATCTGCATTGTTGTGATCCAGACATAATATACTCTCAATACAAAGGGACACTTTGTTTCAATTTTCTCTTGGCAAGGTCATATAAACCTGGGGCTTTGGTGCATGAAAACCAAATTTAGTTCTTTTCCGCCTCACTGCTCGTACTTGCCCACACAATGAAAGTTTACATGGAAATCATTTCACAAAACAGTCCTGATGGCCTGAGATTTTCTGCTCAGATATATGCTGTAGTTAAGACATACAAGGTTGGAGGAGGAGAAGATGCTCCTTTCTTAATATTTTTTAATTGGATCATGGGTTTGTGACTTCTGCATTGTTCTCTGCTCTACATTAACATGACCTTTTAAAATTCTTAGAGATAGGGACTTGCTATGTAAAAGTACAATTTAAATTAAAACAAATACGTGGAAGTATTTAGCAGTGATCCATAAATCCAAATGCTCAGTCATTCTTTACTCAGAATTAGTGAAGAGAAACTGTATGAGTTTTCACTTTCTTCTTCCTGGGGTTATAACACTGAAGACAATCTGAACAGATTTGTTACTGGGCTGAAGGGATTCTTAGAGCAAGATTCTTTTTCCATTTCCAGTTAATGATTTCCAAACCTCCGTAGGAGATGGTGAACTTAAAATAGTTTAGGCTTTGGCTCACTAATCAGGTATAGAAGAAGCATTTGTGTGATGCAGGATATCTGTATCAAAGACCAATGAATAATGAAATTTTCCCTTTTAGTGTTCTAATTTTACATGTAAACCTTTGATAAAGTATATGAGTATACATTAAGCTGCTTAATGAGCTTACCAGTAGATATATTTCCACGCAATTCACAACTGACAACCCACTGAAGCCCAGCAGGTGTGAGCCTGGCCAGTTCCTGGATGAGAGACTTTTTGGGAAAGCTGACAGAAGAGGTGTTAGTGAGATGTGGTGTGTGTGTGTGTGAGGGGGCGTCCTACAACTCCAGTATAGTGATGGGGACACTAAACTGTAAAAAAAAGACATCATTCTTCGGATAAAACATAAAGCTGAGGTCCTGACTCTGTGTAGAGTAGGGGTGTAACCTGGCCAAATTTCCCATTGGCCTTTACCCATCATGGCCTCCTAGTAATCCCCATCTCTGAACTGGCTTCATCACTCTGTTCTCCTCCCCACTGAGAGCTGGTGTCTGGCGAGCGGACTGGCGCATCATCCAGGTGGGGGTGCACACTGGTGGGTGTGGAGGGGTTCCCCATTACCCGTGAAGTGCTTGGAGTGGAGGGTCCAGAAAAGTGTCATATAAGTGTAAGAAATTATCATTTATTATTATTAGTAGTAGTAGTAGTATATTGTTACATTGGCAATACATTCTTATGCTTACTACTACGTAATTGAGTAAATTTGACAGTAAAACTGAAAGTAATTACATTAAGATATATAAACACTAGTAATTATCACATTTAAAAAACTGCTGTTGATCTGAAAACAGATAACCTATTCATGTTGAAATCATACTCCATACCTTTCTAACAGCATATTTAATTGCACTCTATGGTACTGTCTCTAGTATAACAATTGGAGAATCTAGCTGGTCAAAGATAATTAACAATAAACAGTTATGACATGCCTAATAAACCACTGCATGATCAAACGTTTTAAGAGTCTGCCATGCACAGTCTGGCATCCCTATAGTTGCCCCTTAATTCCACTGCTGATGGTGCTTCTCACCTCCCCACCTGATCGACTGTGAAGCTGGACTGCGGGTGCGGAATGGCTGCTGTGTGTCTCCCAGATGGGGCTGCACTTCACTGTTGGTGAAGTGAGTCCCCTCCTTTATGTTAAGTGGTATACAAAATATATAATTTGTATACTCTGAACACTCAGATTTCTAGGCTCTCTGATCCATTCTGAGATAACGCCCCCTTTGGTTAAGTTCTCTGGCCAGAAGAAGAGACCAGTGATTTGGAAAATGAGGTACAGAGTATTACTCTGTTTTGCATTGTCCTTGCTCAAATAGCTGTAGAGGCGTCAGGGGGGGAAGAGCTGCATTTTTTCCGAGACCTTCAGATTATCCATGATCTATTCTGACACCTTCAGATATGCTGCGATCAAGGGGCAAAAAAAGGCAAGAACGCCCACATCCTCAGACCCTCTGTCCAGCCCCACCGGCATCGGTTTCCCTTCTGACGGAGGACTGCAAGAAACACGCTGCCTCTGTCGGCGTGAACGGAAACCGGCCACCTGCAGACTGACGAATGTACAGTAAGTGTAACCGCATGAGATTACTTGCAGGGCTGACTTGCAGTGTGAAAGGGCGGTTGTATTTTGCCACTGGGATGCCCTCTGACCACCTCCTCTTATTGCGCCTGTCAGTCAGTGCCAGTCCGGCTTGGCACATTCACACACGGCCCCCTTTTCAAA